CCATCAGTAGATGAATGGATAAAGAAGATGTGGTACATATACACAATGGAATATTATTCAGCCATATGAAGAAAACAAATCCTACCATTTGCAGTAACATGGATGGAGCTAGAGGGTTTTATGCTCAGTGAAATAAGCCAGACGGAGAAAGACAAGTACCAAATGATTTCACTCGTCTGTGGAGTATAAGAACAAAGAAAAAACTGAAGGAACAAAACAGCAGCAGAATCACAGAACCCAAGAATGGACTAACAGTTACCAAAGGGAAAGGGACTGGGGAGGATGGGTGGGGAAAAAAAAAAATCCCAGCACGTTATTTTGTGGATGTCAACAAACTGACTCTAACGTTTATATGTAGAGGCAAAAGACACAGACTAGCGAACAGAATATTGAAGAACAATGTTGAGAGACACTTCCCAACTTCAAGATACTATAAAGCTACAGTAATTAAGACAGTTTTGTATTGGTGAAAGGGCAAAAAGATCAGTGGAAGAAAATAAAGACCCCAGAAATAGATCCACATAAATATAATTTACTGATCTTTAAACAAAGGAGCAAAGGCAATACAATGGAGCAAAGATAATCTTTTCAACAAATGGTGTTGGGGCACCTAGACATCCACATGCAAAAAAATTAATCTAGATGCAGACTTTACACCCTTCAAAAAATTAACTTAAACCATAGACATAATTGTATAATACCAAAGACATGATCCATGAAAGGAGTTAATTGATAAGCTGGACTTCATTACAACTTAAGACTTCTGCTCTGTGAAAGACAGTATCAAGAGAGTAAGAAGGCAAGCCACCAACTAGGAAAAATATTTTTAAAAAGCATATCTGATAAAGGACTGTCACCCAAAATATACAAAGGACTCTGAAAACTCAATAATAAGAAAACAAACAACCTAATTAAAAAATGGGCCAAAGACAGCTAAAAGATATACAAGTGGCAAATAAGCATATGAAATGATGTTCCACATCATATGTCACCAGGGAAATATGAATTAAAACAACAACATTCTTCTATACACCTATTCAAATGCCCAAAATCCTATCACTGACAATACCAAATGCTTACAAGGGTGTGAAGTAGTAGGAACCGTCATTCATTGCTTGTGGGAATGCAAAATGGTACACCCACTCTAGAAGACAGTTTGATGTTTTCTTACAAAACTAAACATACTCTTACCATATCATCTAGCATCATGCTCTGGTATTTATCCAAAGGAATTGAAAACTTATGTACACATAAAAACCTGTACAGAAAGTTTATAACAGCTTTATTTATAATTGCCAAAACTTGGAAGCAACCCAGATATCCTTCAGTAGGTGAATGGATAAACTGTGGTACAATGAAATATTACTAAGCACTAAAAATAAATGAGACATCAAACCATAAGAAGACATGGAAGAACCTTAAATGCATATTACTAAGTGAAAGACATCAATCTGAAAAGGCTACACACTATACTATTCCAACTATATGACTTTCTGGAGAAGGCAAAACTATGGAGATGTTAAAAAGATTAGTGGTTGTAAGGAGGTGGGAAGGATGAGTAAATGGAGCATAGAGGATTTTTAGGGCAGTAGAAATACATTTGATGAGTTAGGATGATATATAATGGCAAGTGTCCATCATTTTATTATCTTGCAGAGTATTTCCACTGCCCTAAAAATCCTCCATGCTGTCTTTGGCCCATTTTTTAATTGGGTTGTTTGTTTTCTTATTGTTGAGTTTTCAGAGTTCCAAGAGTGAACCCTAAGGTAAACTATGGACTTTGGGGGATTATGAACTGTAAGTTCATCAGTTGTAATAAAAGTAGCAGTCTGGTGTGATAACAGGGTAGGCTATGAATCTGCAAGGACAGGGAGTATATGAGGAATTTCTGTACCTTTTTCTCAATTTTGCTGTGAACCTTAAAACAACTATAAAAAAACCTGTTGTAAAAAAATTGAAAACTACTAATAAAAGTAAATAGCTTGTAGTATGTTTATTCTCAGAGAGTGTTCAGAAAAAAAAGTCTGAAAAATTAAACCTGAACTCGAGTACTCTTTGCTTATTACTCAAAGAATAAGACAGAAAAGCATAGCATAGCAGAAAGTTCAGCTTCTAAGCAAGAACTGTCTCTTTGACAGAGCCCCGATCCAATTATGCCCTAGCTGCTGATTTTTCTATCACCACTTCCCCTTTGTTTCAGAGACATCATTCACGACCTTCTGTTCAAGCAGTGGAGGAAGAAATTGCTTCCCAGAGAGGATTAGCCCCCTGCATTTTACTAGATAAAGAAAAAATAAAAAGCCATTGGACTCTGACAAGCTGATTACTGTCTATGGAAGAGCAAAATGTCTCCCTTAGGACTAGGGGAATAGCCAACAAGGTACAGTATGTTCAAACCTTTAACCACTGCTCTGCCAAGGGCTGCTACATATGTACACATTATTCTTTCCCCTCTGAGCAGTCACATGTGCATAACTAAAAGTACAAGCCTCCATAAGTCTCTGTCTGGCTGTGGTTTCAAATGCATTTAAAGTGAAAGAATGCTGAAATAAACTCTTCCCTTTCCATTTTTGCAATTATGTAGGTAAAACTTAGAAAGGAAAAAAAAGGAAGGGCTGAAGAGAGGATAGGTAAATTGTTGACTCTAAAATGGTGCCTTATAAAATATATTTGGACACCTGGAACCCTGAAAATTTTAGAGTAACTACTTTTATTGTCCCCTCCCAATACAGCCTAAGTGGACTAGAGTCTCTTCCTTAGTCCTAAGAAATACTTGAAACTGACAAAAAAATGAAGTTATTAACATAATACAGTGAAAAAACATGCACACAAATTACCACTGAGTAAAAAAAATGATGCTTGCTGAAATAACAGACGTCTGCAAGACTGTCTGCTTACTCTGGTATTATACAGCTAACTCCATCTGTACACCACTGAGAAATTCAAAACTATTCAGCAATTCTTTTTACTTGATTGAAAAGTAACATATGCCAGTGAGGGTATTTTTTGTATGTGTGTTTGTAGGTATGTATGTATTTATTTTTGGTCAGTGAGTTTGCCAACAGAGACCACTAAGGAGATAACTAAAGTTTAGCATTAAAATACAGGCTTTTTAAAAAAATAATCACCCATCATATTAAGCTGTCACTGCCTGTCTGATAACCTCTTAGGAGTCAACCTTGTAGTCTCTGTTCAATAGGATGGTTGTGCTGAATCAACTTTTCTTTGCATTTAGTTTTACAGGAATTCCGTATGATATACACACACACACACACACTCTGTAGGACACAAGTACAGAAACACACAAATGCATACACAGGCACACAATTAACTGACCTGTTAGAGGCACCGAGCAAAATAAACAAATGAGATATTTGGACACCTAGAGTTATCATTTTGGTAGTTTATGTTGCCCAATAAAGCCAAGAATTTGACTTCATGGTCAGAGGTAGAAAAGACAAGACTTCAGTCAGGTATTTCCTGCACCTGAATGCTGAGTTAGTTTCATATAGTCCACAGTTATACAATGAATCATTATCAGAATCAAGAAGGAAAATGTGTATTTTCAGCAACTTTCCAGTAAGAGATAAAGACAGACAAAATATACAAAGAATCACTTCACTATAAATTCAATTATGAGACTCTCCCATCTCTTTTTTTATTTTAAAAAACTGCAATAGTTTTATTATTTACATCAGAGTAATTACACTTTTATGAAAAGTGATGTTTCATAGGCAGATGTACCTTCTCATTATGTTCTTTTTTTTGGTATCATTAATCTAAAATTACATGAGGAACATTATGTTTACTAGACTCCCCCCATCACCAAGTACCCCCCACATACCCCATCTCCCATCTCTTTTGATTTTTTATTGTGTACTTCTACATATTTTTATCATAAATTGTTTCACATAAATATTTCCATCTATCTATTTGGCCACAGGTTTTCACTTCCAATGTAAATGAAATGTCCACTGCGTTAATAAGAGTTTGTAAGAGAAGAGGAAAGAGCAGATATATGGAAGTGCTATGAAATCAAAGAAGGAGAAGATGTGAATTCTGAATAGAGAAGCACTTTATAATTCAACAGATAAGACTCTCCATGCAGTCATGTCAAAAAGGTCAGAGTAAATGAGCAGTCCCTGGGCAGTATATATCTTATTACACTGTTAACATACTTCTAATCATACCCAAATTTTCACCTTAGTCTTTATTTGCTCTTATTATCAGTCAGTATGGCAGCCACTATAACAAAAGCCCCACTCCTATGTGGTACTTCACCAGACAATATACCAAGATATCATCCTTCGCATCTGGGAGCTTACAGGCATAAAACTAAGATGGAGAAGAAAAATGAATCAGGAAGTGACCCAGTCTAGAATTCACAAAGATGACACCACAATGCTTCTTTGGGCCTATTAGTGGAGGATGCTGAAGCTATGACTTTTAGGACCCAGTTTTCTAGTTCTGTCTACATTTCTGGTTGGTTAAGAATCAATACTCTTTCCCATCTTAAAGTCATGTCCCTGCTACAAAACAGTGGTTGTTTACCTCAGGGAGAGCTAGCCACATTTGAGCAGCATTCCCAGGCAGATTTACAAAAATTACAGATGTTTACTGCCACACTATTTGCAATAGCCAAGATATGAAAGCAACCTAAGTGCCCATCAATAGAGGAATGGGTAAAGAAGATATGGTACATATACACAATGGAATACTACTCAGCCATAAAAAGAAAAGAAGTCCTATCACTGGCAACAATGTGGATGGATCTAGAGGTATTATGCTCAGTGAAATAAGCCAGGCAGAGAAAGACAAATACCATATGATTTCACTTATTTGTGGAATATAAAAACGAAGCAAACAGAAGGAAGAAAACAGCAGTAGACTCATAGACGCTGAGAAGTGACCAGTGCTTACCAAGGGGGAGGGAGATAATGGGGCACAGTAATTGGCAATCACAATATAAGTTGGCCATGCGATGGCAGTACAGCTTGGAGAATATAGTCAATGATTCTGTAACATCTTTCTATGTTGATAGATAGTAACTACACTAGAGGGGGTGAGAATTTAATCATATGGTTAACTGTTGAACCACTGTGTTATACATTGAAACCAATATAAGACTGTGTATCAACGATACTTCAATAAAAAAACACATTATAGATTAAGGCTGAGGCAGTTGCAAAGAGGTCTCTTCATTTTAGTAAGAATTCTTATCTTTTTGTATAGGCAAAGCTCAGCTGTCAATCCAACTCTCTGGTATAGCAGCCAGATGCCTAGAACAGTAACAAACTATATCTAGTAGGAGTTCTTAACTGACTGCATTTAGACCATTTACCAAAAACCCACTACTTATTCTTTTTTTCTCTCCTATTTTAGATGTGCATATTTACATGTATACAGAGAAGAAATAAGAGAATTAGGAAGCAGTTTAGCCCAGTAGTTAAGAGTGCTGGCCTGGAGCCTGTCTGGGTTGGTTGGTTTGTTTTTTGGTAGCTCCATCACAAAATATTGTGACTTTATACAAGTTATTTAACCTCTCTGAGCCTTTGTTTTCCTATCTATAAAACAGGGATATTATATCTTGTTCCCTCATGGGATTTCTAGCATTAAATACAATATACCTGTAAAGTACTTCTGCACAGAACACAGTAAGAGCTCAGTTAGCTCTAGTTGCTGTTATTATTATTATTACATTGATAAAGTTAAACATTCTTTTGTATTTTGTTCCCTCCCATTCCCCTGACATGATCCCTGGGTAGAATATAATTTTTCTGCACATATTGCATATATAAGCTGCTGGTCTGCACTAAATTGATGTTAATCTTGAACATTATGCTATAGAGCCTTCCCTAGGCTACTGTTCATTTTACCACAAAGTCAGTTCAGGTCAACAAATAAGGAAACTAAATTAGTAACTGAGGCCAAGACTGGACAATTATCATACCTAGTCAAATCTAGAAGGTAAAGAGTCAACATCTCCATGGGAAGAGCTTTTACTTAATACCACGGAGTTAGATTCTAAATTGATAGAAAATTTGAATCCTAGAACTAGAGAAATTAGGTCATTCTCCATCCCTCATATTATCAATCTAAATTTTCCACAGCATGAAAAGGAGGAAATGTCTGTCTCTCCCTTTCTATCCAAAGAGAATTAAGTTGCTTCTGGTGTTTATTGGGCCCTTATTAAGATGCATACTTCCCAACTAGCTTCTAGCAGAAGGAAGCTGAGATATCTTTGACATCCTTATAAGCTGCCATGTCTCCTTTGCTCAGGGGCCATTCTATTTAAACTAGACCCCTAACCCCAAATAAAGCCTTTCATTCCTTTAAGTAGCCAATATTACATTTGTGGTTAAACTAATTTATACTAAAGTGAGAATGATAGCTCCCATACTTTGCTGATAACATTAATTGACATTAATCTTTATTTAATGTAGAAGTACATGGCTTTATTTTTGCATAAGGAATCTTTCCTTAATGTTTACCTTGAAATTGCACTGATTTTTTTCAATCACAGGTAAGGCTGCCCATGGGAGGGAGAAGAGGAGACTTTATTGTCCTCAACCTCAAGAAAGGAAAAGAGATCACAGGCTCTAGTTCTTCTGCTTCGCCCAGCCCTAACACCTTGACTCCCAGATATAGCCCATTTCAGTGTTCAACTTTTCCTTGTTCCTAACACCTACAACCAGTAAAACTGTCACTAGGCATGCCAAATCTTTTAACACAAGAGAAACTTCCAGTAGAAAAGAAAAGCTGGTCACCTGAATTTCCCTGGATAGATTCTTTGACTTTTAGAGGGACCTTGGAGCTTTGACCTCACATGCCTAATTTCCCCTCCCCCTTTCTCTAGCTGTTCCCAATCACATGGTTATCTGCTCACAGCTTAAAAAATTTAGAGGACTGCATTATTCTAACTATATGACATTCTTGAAAAGGCAAAACTATAGAGACAGTAAGAGGACTAGTGGTTGTGCGGGGTTGGAGGTGGGGGGAGGGAGGGAGGAATAGATGGAACACATGGCATTTTTAGGGCAGTGAAACTGTTCTGTTTGATACTGTAATGGTGGACACATGTTATTATAAAGTTGTCAAAACCTGCAAAGAGTGAACCTCAATGTAAGCTATGGACTCTAGTTAATAACAACATATCAATATTGGCTCATCAGTTGTAGAATGTACCACACTAACAGAAGATGAGGGAGAAGGGTTGTGGAATGAGGGGGACACATGGGAACTCTCTGTACTTTCCATCAATTTTTCTGTAAATGTAAACTGATCTAAAAAGTAAGGTCTATTACGATTAGCACACATAATATGGGGGGCACGGAGAAGGCAGTATAGCACAGAGAAGACAAGTAGTGATTCTATAGCATCTTACTACGCTGATGGACAGTGACTGTAATGGGGTATGTGGTGGGGACCTCATAATGGGGGAATCTAGAAACCACAATGTTGCTCATGTAAGTGTATATTAATGATACCATAAAAAATTTTTAAATAAGGTCCATTTATTTTTAATTAAAGGAAGACTGGTTAATAATCCCCACCAGGTACAATGGCTAAAAAGAGCCAAGATAAGCTATACAAGAGGAAGGCAAGAAGTAAAAATTTAGACTATAAGGCTTGATCTCAAACTGGAGAGGATAGTAACTAAAAACAAGGAAAGAGGCTTGAGGAAGTAAGGAAAGGAGAGAAAGATGACTCGCAAAGCATTTTAATAGTGACTGGTGTGCAGAAAACTAAAGCAAATGTTATCTCCCTCAGAGAAAGAGAAGGGAAGCCAAGCTTATAATGGGCACTGAGATATTCAGCAGGAAAATCACCACCATTAAGCTTCTGGTATACCTACAAGTGTCACCTTGATGCCTCTCCCCGTGGCTAAGCAACCAGAGATTGTCACTGTAACCACACCTGCAACTAGAGCTGGTGCCAATCTTTATGGTTAATTGAGGTATTTTTCAGGAAAACCAAGGGATAATTGCCCAGTATCAAAAGATCTGATCCTTGGGAGGAGAAAAGAGGCATTCCTTTTGCCATAGGATAGTTTTCTCTAGAATAACATAAATGGCTCTTTGAGAGACTATGTCTGAAAAGCTGAGCTGCAACTCTTGACAGCCAATCTGCTGAATGCCAAACAGAGCACTCAGCTTTCTGCAGTGACTCAGAGGACACGGCAAGGCTGCAGATTTATTCTGCTGATTTTCCCTGCAGACCTACTCAAGTTTTTCAAAGGCAAAAAGGAAGAACTCTTTCCTTCCAACCCAGGGAATTGCAAATTCCACCTGGGGTCTAAAGACAGAACTATGTTGGCTCAAAATCTGACATCGTCAATATGAACATGATTTTTTTAAAAGCTGGAATGATGACTGGCAATTTTAGTCTGTTGAGCAGAAGTTGATTCAGCTCTTCAATCTGCCCGCAGAATCAGCAGCCACACAGGGCACATGGTATGCCAGACTGGAAATGGGCTAATTTCACAAAATTTATTCTCATTCCCTCTGTACTTCCACATGACAATTGCACATAGTCCAGATTCTTATCAAAGCACAATCTTAGGTGGTATATTTCACTGCACAAAGAAATTTCAAAGTAAAAACACTAAGGCACTATTACAAAGATATAAACTCCAAAGCTTCCATCTTTTCTCATGATGCTTTCCTTCTATCAGGCTAAGGATAAGAAGTCCTATCCTTAGCCTGGTAATTTTCCTGAGAGAAAATTAAAAAAAACAAAATCTATCAACAACAAACTATTAATAGCAGTGTTTCTCCCTTACAATTTGTATATCATTTCTTCAAAATGAGATTTTGAAAGAGAAAGCATTTTACACATCCTGACTTGAAAGTAACAGCCATGTGCCATGATTTATTGGGCAGTCCTCTGTGGTTAGATTCAAGCCTCAACAGACAAAAGAAAACTAGGCTTTGGAGTTAAGATGTGCAATTTCTGTTTAAAAACTTTTTTTGTTATCTTATGGTAAACAAAGCAAAAATTAAAACCAGTAGAATTTAGAAGTAATCAGTTATGTTTTGATTTTTAAAAACCTGCATTTTTGTACTGAGCAAGTACCCTGTAATAGATACTGGAGCAAGGAGATTATTAATACAGCAAAATATAGCACAGGAATTATAAGCAAAAGCCAGAATAGGATTTTTTCCCAAAAAACAAAATATATAACCCTTTTTACAAAAACAAATGAAAAGAGGATTAAAAATACAGATGCTTTACTTTATATATACAATATGTAAATATACGATACATAAATATACTATATATACAAATAAATATACAATACATATATAATATTGACAAACAATGTATGTCTTAAATCTTTAGAACAACCAAAAGTTAAAAATTTAGCTAAGTGTTTACTAACAGTCAACAGTAACCCTTTCAAAGGAGTTTAGCATTTGGTTGTAAAGACTGAAGATCAAAACCTGGCTCTGACCAAACCCTAGGTGAAGAGGCTTTTCTTGAATTACAAAGTCCAATTTAAAAGGAGCATTGTGTTTC